TCAAGAAAAACACCTGGGTCTCCAGCAGCCTCTGTGTCATTCAGACACTATTCCTGCTGATTTTTATAGCCCAAAGTTATGGGGATTTCTCTTCCTGGCACTGGAACCCTAGGCCAAGGGTCTGGTGTGGGACTGGGATCTCTTGCTCCTCATGGAAGGCCTCCTCAGCCAAGATATCTCTTCCAATTAGAAAAACACCACACATGGGTGTCGAACCAGCCTGTTCCATGTGTGGCTTCTTCTTTACTTCTCTAGTTGTAGAACCTCTGTTCAATCAGCTTTCAGGTGGTTCTGAATGATGGCTTTTCTGTATTTTAGTTGTAATTTTGATGTGGTTGTGGGAAGATACAAGTTTACCAATGCTGCCATCTTGACCGGAAGTCCTGTCATTTCTTTTTCTTGTCTTCTTATTTTGGCCAGGACGTCTAATGCAATGTGGACCAATTTTTTGGTACTATTATTGAATTTTACTGTGAAAGTTATGTTAGCCTGAAAAATTATAAATTCCCTAAATAAGCTTTTATAAGAATCTCCTATAAAGGAGTTTGGGGACTAATATTTTTTGAGTGTTTTTGGAAGAATACTGGATTACAAATTCAATTTCATTAACTGCTACTGATATGTAAATGTTTGTTATTTCTTAAGTCAATTTAGCCAAATTTAGTTCATTATTTCTTAAGTCAAACTTTAAGAAAAATTTCCATTTAAGTTTCAAATTTTGCTGTTGTAAATTTATTCATAGTATTTTATTATGATTGAAACTGTATAGTAATTTTAGTTAAATTCCTTTGTTTGGTTCCAGATATTATTTATTCTAAGTTTCTAAAATATTAGTCTTTTTAGAAGTGTATCTTTTACTATAGAACCAACTTTGATAAGCTTAAAAAAGAATTAGAGTTTATTTTGTTATTTTAAACTGTCTTATAATATATGTTACATTTATAGTGTATAAATAAATCTACAAAATAAATCTATAATTTTCTTTATTGTAATTACTGTTGCTCCAAGCCACTCTTCAGAAAGTGATGTACTGGTAGATTCATTTTCAATTTAAGGGTAGTTACTTTTCTTCCAGTCCAGAGTGTTTAAAATTGTTAAATAATAGTGATACCTTAATAATAGCACAGTTACTTAATCATACTAGTATAAATTGGAATTGCTAATTAAAAGCAAATTAAGATATTTTTACTCTTGCTTAGTGAACAAAACCCCATAGCCTTATAATTATGGTATTTTATTACTCTGCTTATATTACTGACACAAATCACATCTATCAAAATGTTTTCTGTTTTCAGCAATAAAAATTTCTATAGCATACATATAATTTTACTTTTCTTATTCAACTCTATTTCTATTAGTATATAACCAGAAATCTCTTTTTTTAAATGTTTTTATTTATTTCAGAGAGGAAGGGAGAGGGAGAGAGAGATAGAAACATCAATTATGAGAATCATTGATTGGCTGGCCTCCTGCACACCTACCCCCTCCCCCTTACTGGGGACGGAGCCTGCAACCCGGATATGTGCCCTGACTGGGAACCAAACCATGACCTCCTGGTTCATAGGTCGATACTCAACCACTGAGCCATTCCAGCTGGGCCAGAAATCTTTTCTATGTTCTAGAATAAAAGATTCATTTTTAAAGCTACTGGGAAATGGAGTCTCATGAATAAATTAGCAATAATTCATTAAGATAATGAATGAAAAACATTTAATGATTTTTTACATTTAGTATCATTAGTTTGTTAACATCAAATTTAAAGCAAACCACTAATTCTTCAAATGAAAGAAAATGTAAAAGTGAAGAAATTGTTGACACCTACCATCACTAAGTCATACTTTTGAAGATACAGAGATTTAAAAAAGCAAGCAGTAGAGTACTAACTAGAAATCATGATGAAAAATTTTCCATCACTGTAAGAATAAAAAATTAAGATTAAATTTTATCCAAATTGCAAAAACATACTGTTTTTTAGAGACCTATGTATGCTGTGTATGGTCACATGTATTGGATATTTTCCCCTCTTCAATTAAGGAAACATTAATCAAACACTTATATATCTGTGGCACTGAAGACACAAAAATAATTAGGGTATGGTTCCTACCCGCAGGATGTTCATTCACAATCTATGGAATAAACAAATTTGTAAAAAAAAAAAACAATCAAAATATAATATGACAAGTGCTACATAGTGTTGGTAATAGCCATGACCCAGTGGAGGGGGTGGGAGGAGGAGACTGGACAATAATTAAGATGAACCCAGGGTACAGGGTCAAGTGCTTCTCAAAGGCCTTTCCACTGTTTAGAATGTTTTGTTAATATTTTAGTGCATTACACAAGATCTGTATTTACTAATGTATTTATATACAATAATGAAGTAAAATACTAAAAATCAGTATATCCTTTTAAATTTCTGTTAGGTGCATTTCAAGTAATAGTAACATCTAAAGATCAATTATTGGTTAAATTCTCTACATGAATGAGATTTTATAAAATAGCTGTGATGAGAGAGAGAACCAAGATGGGTACTTGCCACCTCTCACAACCACATCAAAATAACAACTAAAATAGAGAACAATCATCATTCAGAACTGCCTGAACGCTGGCTGAATGGAAGTCCTACAACTAGAGAAGTAAAGAAGAAAGTACACTGAGACTGGTAGGAGGGGCAGAGGCACAGAACAGATTAGTCTGACACCCATGTGTGTCTTTTTTTTTAATCAGGAGGGAGATGGTCTCTGCAGAGGTGGCCCGTGAGGAGCAAGGGGTCCCAGCCCCACACCAAACCCCCAGTCCAGGCTCCCAGAGCTGGGAAGAGAAGTCCCCATAACTATGGGCTGTAAAAACTAGCAAGGATTGTGGCTGAGTGACATGGAGGCTGCTGGAGACTAAGGAGTTCCTTTTAAAGGGCCAGTGCACGAACTTACATGGTCCTGCTTCCTCTGAGCTACAGTGCCAGGGTGAAACACATTTGAGGAGAACTGGATTGTCTGGCATCAGGGGCAGGAATTCAGGGACGGCTTTCTACCAGATGGAGGTTCTCTCAGGGGTCACTGCTCCTTTGCTGGGACATCCAGGTCACAGGGCTGACTGGCAGCCATATATGAGTCTCCATCAGCCTGGCTCACACTGTCCACTCTGCCCTGGTGATTCCCCGAGACCCCGCCTCATCCAATTTGCAGCCCCACCCAACCTGTGTGCAGCAGCTTTTCCACATGAATGGCCTGTCCTTGCTCAGGTTTCAGACTTTGCTAAAATCTCTCAAACAAGCAGCATCTGGGTCAGGGTGCTCCAAATCTATCAGTAAAAGGCCCAAGACTCAGCACTAGCACCAGCCTGCATTGCATCACAGCTGGGCCTCGCCTGGGCATTTCCAAACCCAATACAAATAGGAGGAAGCTGCAGATCTCTCTTTAGCTCCTGCCAGGTAGCCCCAGGCTATGGCTCAGGTTCCACCTCCTTGGAGACCCAAAAGGCAGTACACCCAGTGGACAGTGTTGGACTATACCAGATTACAACTCTACACATCCATAAGCAACACATCTAAGGGGCAGACTCAGTGAGTACCAAAGCCCCACTGAAGCAAGTCCTGCTCCATAGGGGTGTCTCCTGCACAGCAGCTCTGCCATTGTAAATGCAGCTGGTCCTCATAACCAATTGGCCTGGAGGTCAATTCTTCCCAGTGATGCCAACAGCAACCAAGTCTCAACTACATCAAGACTGTGCTCACATCCTGCACAGGGGCGCACCTAGAGTGACCAGCTCAGGTGACTGGGGAGGCTAAGCCACTGGGCCCTATAGGACATCTGCTACACAAGGCCACTCTACCAATTCCAGGAGATATAGCAGCTCTAACCAATATAAAGAAACAAACACAGGGAAGCAGCTGGAATGCAGAGACAAAGAAACATGTCACAAATGAAAGAAATGGAAGAAACTACTGGATTCAGAATTCAAAACCATGGTTATAAGACTACTCAAGAATTTTCATGAGACCAAGAAGGAACTTAGTGAGACTTGCAAGTATCTTAGTAAGAATACCAAACACATGGAAAATGACCAGTCAGAAATTAAGCATATGCTGATTGAAATAAAGGATAATATACAGGGGTTGAACAGTAGAGTAGAGGAATCCAAGAATCAAATCAATGATTTGAACTTTGAAGAAGCAAAAAATACCCAATCAGAAAAACAAAAAGAAAAAAGAATCCAAAAATATAAAGATAATGTAAGGAGCCTTTGGGACAACTTCAAGTGTACCAATGTTCTCATTATGGGGGTGCCAGAAGAAGAGAGAGGGCAAGATATTGAAAACCTATTAGAAGAAATAATGACAGAAAACTTCATCTACCTGGTGAAAGAAATAGACTTACAAGTTCAGGAAGCACAGAGAGTCCCAAACAAGAGGAACCCAAAGAGTACCACACTAAGACACATCATAATTAAAATGCCAAGGGCAAAAAACAAAGAGAGAAACTTAAAAGCAGCAAGAGAAAAGCAGTTAGTTCCTACAAGGGAGTGCCCATATGACTGTAAGCTGATTTCTCAACAGAAACTATGCAGGTCAGAAGGGAGGGGCAAGAAATATTCATAGTGATGAAAAGCAAGGACCTACAACCAAGATTACCCTACCCAGCAAAGCTATCATTTAGACTTGAAGGTCAGATAAAGAGCTTCACAGACAAGAAAAAGCTAAAGGAGTTCATCATCACTGAAACAGTATTACATGAAATGTTGAAGGGTATTCTTTAAGAAGAGGAGGAAGAAGAAAAAGATAAAAACCATGAACAACAAAATGGTTTAAATACTTATCTATCAACAATTGAATCTAAAAATCAAAATAAACGAATAAGAAATCTAATGAACAGAATAAACTAGTGAATAAAATAGAATCAGAGGAATGGAAATGGAATAGACTGATGATTCTCAGAGGGAAGGGGGTTGGGGGGGGCAGGAAGAGATTAAACAAAGATCTTATATGCATATGTGCATTTCCTAAGGATACAGGGTGTCTAATGGGGTGTTGAAGGCATGGGACTAGGCGGGAACTGGGTGAAGTGGGGCAATGGGGGGAAAAGAGGGACATTTGTAATACTCTCAACAATAAAAATTTTAAAACATGTAGAAAAAGTAAATAAAATGGCTGTGATAAATACAGAGAATTAACTTTAAGTTTCAAATGTATAGTGTACAAGTTAAGAAAATGAATACCAACTATGTATGGTGTGAGATGGATAACTAGATTTATTGAGGTGATCACTTTCATAAGTTATGTAAATGTCTAATCACTGGTGTGTACACCTGAAACTAATGTAATATTGTACAACTATAATTGAAAAATTTTAAAAATATTAAAAAGAAAATGAACACCACTTAAAAGGTAAGTACCATTCAAGGAAATTGTCAAAATTCTCTCTTACTGGCAAACCATGAACTTTTGTTAAATGCTCTTATTCAAGACAGCTTTGAGCTGATTAAACTTTGCTGGTTACCCTATGCAGCACTGTCTAGGAGTTATAGTAGTGAAACTTCTATGAATTACTTTACAGGAATACCTGTGTCCCTTTTATTAGATGTTCATCTCAACGTGAACTAAACAGCTACACCCATGAAATATGGGCCAAATTAGCTGGTGTTTACTTTGAACACACTGACCTTTGGGAAATGAATTCCCTTTTCCTCTCTAAACTTTCACTGTCTGTCTTGCAATATTTCTCATAGCCACGATGGACTGCCAGTGAAGTGACACACATATCATAAGTCACCATCATTTTGATCTTTTGGGTCTGGGAGACCTATGCCTAATTCATGTCTCAGCTGTTTGTATATAACCATTTTTAAATGGCATATTTTGGTGATATCTTGATATCTTGATAAAAACTGAGGAACTTAACTTGTCTCTAAAGCCCAGATGACAAACATTCATGACTAGGAGCTCTGCATCCACTTATGTTCACCAGAGCGCAGACAGCAAAGCAAGTGCATGCGTGTCTCTGCCACTTGTTGGCAGGACAGCCCCTAAGCCTCTCCCCCTCTTGTACTTGAACGCACAGCAACCAGCATATAGGTCAAGAATCAAGTCCTGGCACTTATCGCTAAAGGGTTTCTTTAAACACACACACACACACACACACACACACACACACACACACACACACCTTCCTTAAAGGGATGTAGGAGGCAACACAGTTGCCTAATAAAACCAAGAGGCTGTGCAGAGAGCCTGTTCCTGCTGGACCAGCCTGGATTTTCCCTCCCTCCTTCTCGGAGGCCCTGTGTCCCCTAAGCCTCCAAGGTTTAAATAGTCCTTGGAGATCTCAGGCCTGAAGTTCTAGCAAGTCCTGCTCACCCACCTTCGAGGGAGACATCCATAGGAAAGCATCCCCCCCACCACCCTGCGCAGCCGCCGGCCAGCCCCTAGGAAATCTTTATTCAGCTGAGAACTGGGCTCTGCAGGAACCTCCAACCTCAGTTACCCCAAAGGGACCTCAGAGAGTCCCGAACCTCGCTCTACAGCTCGGCTGCTCCCACAACTTCCCAAAGATTCCTAGCAATATTCCCAGAGGACTGTTTCCAGCGAGCTATCAGGGGTCCCGGATCCCGAATCCCGCCCGTGCTCCGCACACTTACCCGCTGCGCTGGCCGGTGCCTCTCGAAACAGCGTTCCTGATGCCCTGGACCAGAACGTCAGAACGTTCTCTACCTGCTCACTGTGGCTGCACGCGTGCGCCCCGCACCAGGGCCCG